TGGCTATGCTCCCTCCCAATGCTTGTTTGTTTTGTTTTGTGTTGTTTTGTTTTGTTTTTAAGCTGAATGTCCTTGACTAGCAGGGTACTTAGCAACAACTGAAAACATCACTGTGTTATCAACATTCTTCTCATACTAAATCCAAAACACAGCACTAGCAAGAAATTTAACTCTATCCCAGCCGAAACCAGGACAGATATGCTTCAGTGGTGGACTTGACAGTGCTAGGTTAACGGTTGGACTTGATGATCTTAAAGGTCTTTTCCAGCCTAAACGATTCTATGATTCTAATAAGACACAGCAAAGCCAGGCAGCATGAGATTTGTAGTTCAGCTGAGAAGGGGATAGTGTATTTAATGACTAGAGAAATCATTCTCTGCTTTGATTTCTAACTTGCTGATTATTAGGTAGCTAGGAAAACAAACATAAATGGGAGAAAATATGAGTGAGGCAGAAGAATATTGACCTGTAAGTTTTAATCTGAAAGCATAAATGCTTTAGTAGCAAATCGCAGTATCATGATTATACTCTACCGAAGGAGGTCCCTTTCTAAGGCAATTCAGGCCAGAGAAAAAATGCCTAATAATTTTTCTAAATGAGGATGTAAATGTTTGCAAGATCCATGCCTAAAAATCTTTCACTTTATAAAGTACACATATTCACAACTTTAGTTAAACTGGCATGAGATTTTGGGTATTATGCTGATAAGTGGCAGACTGATAACATAATCTAATTTCATTTTTGGAAGATTAACAAGTTACAGATTCATCCTAATGAGTAAAACACAAGAAAACAGTAAAAGAAGTAGTATGTTTATTCAGAAAATGCATGTTAATTGTATTAACCACTCTTCAGACCTAACTGTCGTACACATTGTTTGGTAAAGTAATGAAATCATAATCTCTTCAATAGATGTTTGACTCAGAGAAAACTTAAATCCCAGACAGCATCTTTAGTTGCCCAAACAACGCAGGAAACATGTCAGTGAAAGGAAACATGGTCTCTTGGGGATGGGGTGGAGGGCGAGGAAAGAACAAACGAACACTAAACCTACATACATTTCTCTTTTTCCATTTCCATTTCTTCCCAGAATGTTATACAGCAAATGGGGCTGACTATCGTGGCACTCAGAACCAGACCTCCCAATATGCAGGGAAACCTTGTCTTTTTTGGAATGAGACCTTTGAGCATCCTTATAATACTTTGAAATATCCCAATGGGGAGGGAGGGCTTGGAGAGCATAACTACTGCAGGTAAGAAATATCTCATTGCTACTAACATTGCATATATACCCAGTGTTACTTTAAACAGTTGACACAAAATTAGGAAACTTCCTGTCATACAGTGAAGAATGTCAGAACCATGGCTATCTAACAGGTTTTGGTTTATCCTGTAATCAGTACCCTGGATCTACAAGCACCATTAGTAGGATAACTTTTTCAACCCAGCTCTCGCCCAAAGTCCATATCATATATCCAATCTATAATTTGGCATGACAGAGAAAGACTAGAGATTACTTAAATGGTGGTAGGTGGAGGTAGTAAAAAAATTGATCCAAGTCAGAAGTACAGAAGCACTAGTGAATGTTTGTAGGAGTCTCTGGAACATTATGGTTTTTATCCTCACCCACAAGCCTGGTTCTGTTATACACGTTTCCGAGTTTTGTGCTAATGAAAGTTACATGGTCACTAAAAATTCTCAGTGAGCATAAGCTGTTCAGTGACTTAGAGTTGTTATTTGAATTCAGAAGCTCAACTGTAAGTGGTTACAATACCAGCTCAAACCATGGCAGATCCACTTTCATTTCCTTGCCTTCTAGAGAAGTCCTCCATAACTATGGAGAGAACTCAGAACGAAACTTAAATAAGAACTTCAGAATTCAGGAGCCAAATAAGAACTTAAGTTCAGAGATGTTTAGGCTCTGCAGGCTCTTTTCAGCCTACAACATTTAACTTCCTGATGTTGTGCATCAGGAAGTTACATGCACTTCTGCCTTTGCAGAACTGACCAGCTAAGTTTTTATGTCCATCTATTCTTGCTATGGAAATAGGTGGGGAATAACCCGATAGATACGTTCCTTAAACAGTGATTGTCATCAGCTCATCTAGGATGCATAGAAAGTTGAGTGGTGTCTCTTACTCACTGGGTAATGGGGGCAGAGATGTTTAAACCAAGAGATTAAGAATTGAGTTACCTGCGGCATGGTAAGAAAGCTCTAATGTCTCGTTTGTGAGAAGGTTCAAACCACACCTCAGTTCTCCTGGAAGATGCCTTTAGTTAGCAGGTTATAGGCTTTCTAGGGTAGAGCCTATACACTTGCCACCTTCATGTTGAAATCACTTCACTGTAAGCAATATAAATCAGGATAAGTGAGGCAAAATTAATATGCAAGAGTTCAGCATAATTGCTATGTCATGAACATAGGGTCCTGGTTCTTGATGCAAGAAATTTTCCATATTTAATCAGACATAGACATTCAAGAAAATATGACAGAGACAGCCAGATAATGCAGAGTAAGTAAGAAAGCACAGAAAAGGAGTGTTGTGACATGCAGCAGACAGATGAGCACATTGATGAAAGGAGTCAGTGGCATTTCCAGAGTATTTGATGACTCAGGAGGATATTTCTCATTGAAGAACATTGGTGAAGGACAGGAAGAAAAAGACTTACTGAGGATCTTTTCCAGTGGCTGTAGCAGGGCTTCAAAATAACACTGTTCAATGTGTTGCACCACTGGACTCTGTTTTCAGCCATAGAAGGAGAAAGCTGTATTGCCAGGTTCTGAATTGACTCTCTTTTGAATCAGTTCAGCATTTTACAGGAGCAAAGAAAAATACACCACCTTCAAGAGAAACTCCATAGAAGTTGGGCATTCTCTTTAGAAAATGGCCTGGAAACCAAATAAACCCATCAAGCTGTCTAGTATCAGATCAGTATGTGAGCACTGGAAGGATTGTCTTCCCATCAAAAACATTTCACACCAACTTCACATCCTCCCTCAGCCCAGCAACACCAAATGCATAACAATTCTCATGACATGTAGAGAGCTGTGTCTCTCAGTATGCCTGCTAATACAGAGGTATAAAAAGGCTAGTGGCCACTGAATTATCTCTGATATAAATAGCAGAATCAAGAACGTAATTTTGATTGTTGCTGTGTGGCAATATCCTAGATAGACTGTATCTACAGGGTCTTACTTTTGGCCATCATCTCTGGCTAATACTTAGGTTAGTACAAAGCAAAATGTGTACAAGCTATGCAAAAATGTGCATAACAAACTGAATGTTTATCCAGGTATTCAAGTAATCCTTACTAGAGTCTCACTTTGCTTAGCAAATGAGAATTTGGTGTTACAAGGAGCAAAAAGCCTGTAATCTGGTATGTAAGCCTGAGAAATGACTTGATTACCAAATACAGCTTTTTAACCTCAATCTGCTAGGTGTTAGATTATCCTTCTTGAAATGGAGTTTGGCTAGAAGGTTAGCCATTTCCTTCCTTATACTATATCACTTGGCCCAGGAGTATTCTCACAGGTGTATGGAATGATGATCCTAACTAATGGATGCTTTTTAACTTCACATTCTATTGAAAAATAGCTTGGAAAGTCACTGTTTTAAGAGTGTCAGAGCATATTTTTAGCATGCAAATCTTGTTGAGGCCTTGTGAGTGAAGATACTGCTGTTTTACCTCTTTCTCTGCCATTCATTTGCTTGGTGACAATGGATAAGTTGATCTTCCCTTCTTTGACGCAACACATATCTCACAAGGCTTTTTTTAAGGCATAATACATTGCTTTGAGGCTTAAGTTTAGGGACAACATTTGAATAATCTAATTTTACACTTAAAGCATTAATCAGAAGCATGTTATCTCTCCATGGGTGGTCCTTACGTGGAATACTTTGTTTACTGCAAGACACCCTGTTAAGACGGAAATGCCTTATAATGTTCCACTAAACCTCATTTCAGCCATAAAAAAATTATGCAGACTGAAGTTTTTGGAGATTTTGAAAGACACTCAATTATTTTCTAACTGTATGCACTTTTGAGGTTCAAGGCAAAGATTTCTAAAGACATTCATCATGTTTCTCTGCAATTTCCTTGCATTTTAAGGCATTCATATGTGGAGTGCCGTTACCATGATTCTATTACAGTCATCTGATTTCTGTCATGCAGGTGTAAACCCAAGATTTCCTGTAACTGTGAAAACAAGGAAAATTGTGTTACTTCAAGTACAAGCTTGATTTTAATCTTCTACTTTCTTTAGCCACTGGAAGCTCTGCCATTACACCTAAATTCCTAGCAGACTAGTCTTAGGCTTTCCTTGTCCACTACTTTTACTAGTCTGTTTGAAAGCCTAACTAGCAGCATTTTAGTCAGCTAAATTGAACTCAACTCACCAATTGTCTTCAGCATTCTGTTATTAGACCAAAAAATATCCCCAGCAGTTCTCAGATTGGATCTCCCACAAAGAATTGTTAATATGCCCAAATGACAATATGCAGCTGAACTGACACTTCAGTGTAGGGGGGTCTCATTAATAGAATTCATGCCAAAGTACATGATAAAAAGATTGCAGTTGGCCCTAGTTACAAGAAAAGGTCATATTTCAACCTGACTGTCCAAAATAACAGTTTATTCTCTTAAATTGATCTTTTCAATGTGAATAGTTTTTCAAAGTGTACATAGAAAAAACTTTAAATAACCTAATGACTAATTAGGTATGCATTTGTAAATGATGCTACACAACAGCAAAGAATAATCATGGACACATAAGGAATTATCCATCAATATATCAGATCACTGGAATAGATTTATTCGGCTTTACTGAAGGGGAAGAAAAGATCTCGGTCCTTCCTGGAAGACTTAATCGGATAAATGTTTTTGTCATCATACATACAGAAGGTTGGAGTCTGGACTATTTTGTACGAAGGCAAAAATCAAGTTTATGAGTCTAAGGAACCTGTGTGCAGGATGTGGGACTGAAAATCTTCCTCTCTCTCAGTACTGTCCAGAAATAGCTCTGCACCTTTTAGACTTAAAAGAAGTTATGTTTTAGACATTACTAAATTTTATGCTTGCTGTGTACTGTAATAACCAAAGTTATCTGAACTTTTGCATTTTCTTGGTATGTAAGTCCAATGGGTTAAATATTCAATAGGTATTAGAGCAAAAATAGTGATGACACTGAAGCTTAATAAGGTTTATTTTTATGTGATTTTTGAAAATACTTGATGACTTTTCACTCACTTTCTCTATTTTTGTCTTTCAGGAACCCTGATGGAGATGTCAGCCCATGGTGCTACATTGCAGAGCATGAGGATGGAATATATTGGAAATACTGTGAGATTCCATCCTGCCGAAGTAAGAGCACCATTCAATGTTTTTAGGCCTGCATCTCTGTTGAACAGAGATTGGCAGTTATACAACAGTGGGTAATGATTTTCAAACAGAAACTAGGATAAGGCCAATCAGCTTATTTTCATTTGCAGACTAAGCAATATTTTAAATGGGTCTCTAGAGTTAATGACAAGCTTACTGAATCGTTTGTCCATTGCTATCCTTTTCATCTTATCTCAGAATTACTGGATTGTATTATTTACAAATAATACCAGACAGAGAATCACTCAAAACTTATGAAGTACTGCTAGTTTTTTGAATCCATAGAAATATGTCATTCATTTATTAAAATCTAGGGGACAAAAAAGAATAGGAAATTATTAATTGATTTTTTACAGGGTGCATATGTGTCCATCATTTGCAATTAGCTTGCAAAATGGATGGCATTAGTTTAATGTGTATAACACATCATACGCAGAATTGCTTGGAAGAAATACAGACAGTATGAGAGGACATAGGGAAAAGGTGGCTATTTGTTAGGTATATGGGGCTAGAATTCTGTTCCTTGCAGGTGCATATACTTAGCATTGCTGTGAAACTACAAACTGGACTTTTTTTTGATTTTTTTTTAACAGATAATTTACACCTGAAGCTTCTTTGCAGTATTTAATATTTTTAATATATTATATTATTTACCTTGTCCAAAATGTGGAGGTTTTGTCATGATTTGTGTCAGTATGTTCCAAAATTTTCATTCCTGAATGCTCCAGGATAAACTCCTAAGAATCACATTCTTTAAAATATGCCTAAATATTAAAAAGAGATTCCAGTTTTGCATGTTAACAAGCAACCATAACTACACATTTTATTAAGTCTAATCATTGATGCCTTTACTTGCTTTCCTAACTACTTCTGTGCAAATACTCTCTATTTCTAAGGGATAACTTAGGTGTATACTGTTAAGCATCAGAGCAGTAGTCCTTACGTAGGCATACTTTCAGTTGGAAGAAGTACGTTTCTTATTTGAAGTTAAGAAAACAAAACCAAACAAAGAAAAATGGATCTAAAGTGTTTTTTTACTTTGTCCACAGTTTTCTTTTTTCATGAATGTGAGCGACTGATTCACATCTTCAAGCTAGGCCAACAAATACATAAGTGTGACCTTAAGTCGGGTGACTTTTACCTACATATTAAGGAGTCTAATTTAAATAAGACAAAATCATTCAACACTCCGATACTCATTGTTCAGAGGACATCTTACTCTTATTTTTCTAATACACCAGGTCCTATTTAGGAAACATGACCCTCCTAATTAAGAAATTTATCTTGGTCTAAAATGAAAGAATTTGCATTTTCTTTAAAGACCACAGATGTTAACAAATTCTCTGGATATGGCACCAGTAAAAAAGCTGAAAGGCAAATTCTCTCCACTCCATTTGTTCTACACAAAGGATCCTTTTAAAACCAGCCTCGCTCATTTTCTCTGTGGTGGGGAGCAGAGGATTTAAACTTGGACACTTACTTGCACAGATAATCCAGACTTACATTTACAAAATGTCCTTTTGACCAGTAGCAGCTGCTTCAAGCATTGCACTGAAACTGGATACTAGAAAAAGGAATTGCAGCAATTTAGAACAAACTGTACATTGCAAGCCCATCCAAGTCTTAATACAAACCTCATGGTTTATGAAGCTGTGTAAGTAAAAAAAAAAACTTTTATTCTTTACCAGATTTTCTGTTTTCAGTAAGCATGATGCTAAATCATAGGACCATCAAAACAGACTTGTGAAGTGCATAATACAAAACTGAGTTTTGTGACGGAGGAAGAAAGCAATTGTGTAAAGAAATCCTATTTGAAATTTTTAGAGAAGTAAAAAAATTGTCTTACATAAGCTTCTTTTCCATAATTATATTTACTACTAGAAGAGACAAGTATCTGGAGCATAATTTACCTATAAACTATACCCACATAATACCACTACAATGCCAACAACATGAAGCGTCTTGATTGCTTAGAGAGATTTGCATGCAATGATTCATTGTAACAATAATTAAGAATCTACAGCTAAGAATTCTTCATTATGATGATTTCACATGATTATATCATGTGTCTCGTTCACTAATATTTATACGTAACACTAAATGTTTCATTCAGAAGCGAGTTCTGGCATTCTGCATGTGTAAACATGCTATACAGAATTTAGCAATGTTTGATGAGGATGGATGGGCATAATCACAGACGACAGTGCTAATTGCTCCAGTAGGAGCTTAGTCTTTCCTTTTCTTCCTCTCCTCTTCTTAATGGCTTGTCTGCTAAGCAGACTGGAATGGACATAAACAAAATAAAAGGCAAGAAGGCAGCACTGAGTCCTGAAAGAACATGTGCATTTCACATGGAGAATTCAGAACTGAATGCTTTAGATGGTTTGTTTGCAATGTTGCAGCTATCCCTGACTTTTTCGGTCTCTTTGTTAACGAGGTTAGGTTGAAATTCAAAGGAAATAACAACTTATGCTCCCAAAAGGTAAAGGAAAGAAAGGCTTGCTGTCCCACTTAGTTGCATCTCCATGTTTATGGCCCCCATGAATCTCTAACCATAAACAGATTTCATTACTGGAATCATATTTCCTGTGTGCGTGTATGTCATGTAATAAATTTATTTATGACTGAAATATTGATGAAGTGTTAAATGGCAGAGCCAGGTAAGTTATACAGAGCTGTATTCATCATTCTGTAAGATTGACCTGTATACATTTTAACACAAGAACAGAGAGAATAGCTCACACAATTTGAGACAGTATACTGGTGCATACTACCATTGCAAAAAGCTAAGAGGCTCTTGACAGACAGCTAGATGAGCATAGCTGGAACGTGGTTTTGAGCTCAAAAGGATTAATTCCATGTTTTAATACATGTGCCTTAACATGTAATATGCAGAAGCTCTGGTGTTTGCCAGGACCTCATTACGTCAGATGCTGCTTGAAAGAAAAATAGCATGCTTGCACAGAAGAGGTGACCTTTTAAGCACAAGAGAACAAATAGATACAAACGGGTGAAGACAATGTAACAGTAAGACATCACTGATCAGCATGAACAGTAATCGCAGAACGTTGACTACCTTATTTTTGCCAAGCTTCTTCAGTAGGCTAAGCATTAAGAGCAAATTACGGCAAAAGATTATAGAAATTTTTACAGGTCAGAGTAACTAAACAGTCACTACCTATCTAGAAATACTTTTGATTCTTCATTGCTTTATATATAAATGTACATATATATATATATAGTTTTATACATACACATAGGGTTGTTGGATGCCCTAGGTTGGAAGGGACCTCAGGCTATCATCTAGTTCAACCTGCTGCTCAAAGCAGGCCCAGCTCTGAGGTCAGACCAAGTTATTCCGTTTGTCAGATTAGACCAAGTTTATCCAGTCAGGCCATGACAACCTCCAGGGACGCAGAGTGCACTCCCTCTCTGGGCCCTTGTTCCTGTGCCAGCATGGTGAAAGATTTTCCTTATATCCAGTCTGAACTTCTCATGTTTCAACTTTAAGCTCCTTACCTCTTGACCAAAATGCATCGCTGTGAAGACCCTGGCTCCATCGCTGTGTCAACCTCCATGTAGATATTGCAAAGCAACTAGGGGGTATGCCCCAAAACCTTCTCTTCTGCAGGCTGAACAAGCCCCAGTACCCCAGCCTCTTCTCACAGGGCAAGTGCTCCAGCCTTCTGAACATCTTGGCTCTCTGCTGATCTTGCTTCAGACAATTAATGTCTTTCTTGCATTGGTGGGCCCACAACTGGACATAGTAGTCTTGATGTGGTCCTAACAAGTGCTCAGTAGAGGAACAATCACCTCCCTTGATCTCTGGCGCTGCTCATCTTAATACAGGCCTGCTGGCCGCCTTTGCTGCCCGGCACACTCCTGGCTCATGTTCAGCTCCCTGTCTATCAGGACCTCCAGGGCCTTTTCTGCAGAGCTGCTCCATGTACATAAATGTACACTGTCTTGTTTTAGATTTATGTTGCGTGGCTCCCTATGCATACATCCTGAGTCAGTTTAATATAGTATGAATAAGGAGCATATTATTCTAATATATAAAATATTGTTGAAAAAGCAGTAATCTGTGATCATAGAATCATAGAATGGTTTGGGTTGGAAGGGACCTTAAAGATCATTTAGTTCCAACCCCCCTGCCATGGGCAGGGACACCTTCCATTAGACCAGGTTGCTCAAAGCCCCATCCTGGCCTTGAACACTTCTAGGGAGGGGGCATGCACAACTTCTCTGGGCAACCTGTTCCAGTGCCTCACCACCCTCATAATGAAGAATTTCTTCCTTATATCTAATCTAAATCTGCCCTCTTTCATTTTCAAGCCATTACCTCTTGTTGTATAACTACATGCCCTTGTAAAAAGTCCGTCCCCGTCTTTCCTGTAGGCCCCCTTCAGGTACTGGAAGGCCGCTATAAGGTCTCCCCAGAGCTTTCTCTTCTCCAGGCTGGACAACTCCAACTCAGCCTGTCTTCATAGGAGAAGCCCTCTGATCGTCCTCGTGGCCCTCCTCTGGACTTGCTCCGACAGGTCCATGTCCTTTTTATGTTGGGGGCCCCGGAGCCGAATGCAGTACTCCAGGTGGGGTCTCATGAGAGCAGGGCGGAGGGGAAGAATCACCTCCCTTGACCTGCTGGTCATGCTTCTTTTGATGCAGCCCCGGATACAGTTGGCTTTCTGGGCTGCAAGTGCACATCACTGTGGATCTGATATGAAAGCAGTGTTTGCCAATTAGATCTTCTCCAACTCAGATTAGAAATGATCTCCCCTCTACTATTATGCTTATACTATGTACTCTGATTACCCAGTAGCAACTCAGTGGTGTCTCAGGTTTAGGACCAGCCCATCAGTAGCCATAGGAAGAACTGGCATATCAAAAATCATATATGCATGTACAGGAGAAATTTTTTTTGTGTGTTGTCCCAGTTCAGAAGAGCATGTAATCGTGTATTTGATGTGGGACTACTAAAGTGCTTTTAGCTGAGCATATATCCTTGAGCTCATGTAGTCTATTGATTTGATATCAAAGTAATTTGAAGAGCTGGGCACTGGCATGGAAATTACTGTTCACTATTGGGCTAGACTGATGCTTCTCCTTCTTATTCCCAATCACATGGCACTAATTTTGTTTGCTAGATACGAGAAAGTTAAAATACAGCTGGGACACCAAAGAGACTAATTAGCTTTATGATGTACCCAAATGGTACACTTGATTTAGTTATGAAATGTAAGAAGTTTTCAAATTACTCAGTCTGGTTTCTTAGCATGGAACATATTGTAGTACTAATCCGCCGGAGACAAGGTTGAAGGGTCTCACCAATAAATCTACTTTAAAAAAAAAAAAATCTAGTATGTGTTTTTAGGAAATCCCAGGTCTCCTAGGAAAATGAGCTAGGTTGGTTAACTAGGAAGCTTTTTCAGGGCAGTGAAATCATGCACTGCACAGAAAACTGAGCTCTCAGAGAGTTATCTGCCCAGCTGTACTAAGCTGGGGTGGGGCTGCAAATGGGGATTTCCAAAGGTATGTTAAATCAGGCTGTAACTTGAAGTCTCAGTACTTGCACGCATGTTGCTGCAGGGCATATCAAAGCCATAACTCCATGCAAGCATTTATAATTGAAATTGTATCACTCTTAGAAAACAAAATTATTTTATGAACAATATTTGAAGCAACATTCATTTATTCAATTATTCAAAAAATATACGTACTTGAATTTTCTTCCCAACTTCATTAATTCTTCGTTATAATACTATAATCATCCTCCTTAAGAGTATAATCATATACATGCCAGTATATTTGCTGGTCACTAATAGATATGCTAACCCTTTTCCTCAAAATAAGGAAGCTGCCTTAGGCAACATAGCCTAAGTCTGGGAGCAAGTTCTCAGACAGACCTGTTCCAGATGTCAGGATGATTCTGATTTTAACGGTAAGCTGACATCAGTTTACAAGCTCAGTATATAATATTCCAAAAGAATAGGGATAAGACCATCTTTGTTAGACAAATAGAAGTTCTGAATTCAAGGCATTATTTCATTGGCTGCTGCACATGGACATATATAAGAAATCCCAGATACGTGCCTTCCAGAATCCAATGAAGATGTACTTTCAGGACTACTGTACAAAATTGCTCAGTACAAAAATAATCATTGCATTCCTATTGTATTTATGTGAAAGTACAATAGTATAGAAGCCATTTACTAACACACAGGTTATCTGATAGAGAAAAGGGCCACGTGTACAAGAGATGGCTAGTTCAAAAGGAGTGCCAAACCAGCTAATCCACATGCTATCAGGCATCAGAGCTGCAAAACCCGAAACCCAGCATTTCCCTGCCCCAAAAAACTATTGGTAAGTCAAAAACCTGAAACAGTGCTGTTCCACAAGATGTTAGCAAGAGAGAGTTCAGAGTCTACTGGGTACTGAAATAACAAATGACCGAATAAGTAAAACTCTCATACAGTTCTCTGATCACATCACATGTTATACAGAGCTGTGGAGGTTAGGTGGACAAAAAATAATCCTTGTCAATCTGGCACAGGGATAAAAATTATCTGATCACAGAGCTGGTAACAGATTTAATTCCAAGTGTGTGACCAGATATGACAAGTAGGCAAGGCATAATTTTATGCCATTAGCACAGCAATATATTGTACCCCACATCCTCTCTCTAGTAGTCACAGCTAAATTCCAGTGCTTTGATGAAAAGTGCAAAACCAAACCAAACCAACAACAGAGGACAAATTATGCACCGAAGGGGAAAAACTCTTTCTGACCTCCCATAGTGACCAAGGAGCCTTGAAATGTTGTATCAATGCAGTATAAATAGATGTTTCTTTAAAAAAGTAGTATTGCTCACTTTGAATCTCTTTGTACATACCATAAAATATGATGCTTTGAATTCATATCAGAATTTGAGTTTTAAATATTAGGGAATTCCCCTGTATAAGTATATAGTCCCTCCCATAAAACTTGCCAAACTCCATCCTAAAATAGTTTAGGTTCCCCTCCTCAAATATCCTGTTTAGAAAACTTCCAGAACTTCATTGTTTTGAAGATCAGACAGAAATCACATTGTTTAATTTACATTGTTAGAATACACATGTCATAGTCAAAAACCCTTAGAAAACCTCTGAACCCACTTAATGCCTTTTTTTTTTAATTGTCTCTATCAGGAGAAACGAACAAGGTATTTATCTTGTCTATATTATTGCAGCTTACAGAAACCAACTACAGAGTATTGCAGGTATATTGCTAAGAAAATATGATGCTATTTCATCACCTGTCATTTATCCGTGGGCATATTTGGAAAATATGACAAGGATCTAGCATAGAGTAGTTAATTTCCCATACTGCGAAATCAAGACAAGAACATATAGAGAACTGCTTAGTTACCAGGTAGTGCATAAAGCGGTCTGTGTCTTGGGTGTTTCCAGGCACACCTTTAGAATGACTGTTGTCTGTTATTCTTGCCAGTGCCGGGGAATCTAGGGTGTTACAAGGACCACGGAGAGCCACCTTTGACTGGCACCAGCGAGACCTCCAATAAACTTACTATCCAAACATGCATCAGTTCCTGCCGAAGTCAACAATTTAAGGTGATTTCTTTGACGTACATTCACAAAATGTTTTCAGAGACAAAAGATGGCACTATGTCTAGAGCTCTCTATCATATTTCCTCACCCCCCGCCTTTTTTTTTAAACCTTTAGGAGGTCTAAGGTCTCATCCCCACTCTAGGGGACCTAGCCCACTCTCTGCATCCAGAGCAATCTGGGCAAACGACCAATTAATAATGCCAGGATGCCAGAAGAAAGTATGCTTGCTTACTGCAGTTATGAGTGATAGGGTGCCCTAATTGCCCTCCATTCCATCTTTGTCCCTAGTCTTAAGTAGCATCCTGACAGCTCAAACAAAAACAGTTTGTGGTGGGACCTCTGACTAATCATACTTCTCCAAAACACACACATTCTGTTGCCAGCTTTCTTGCTCATACAACCTCCTGCTGTCATTCCTTTAAATATCGTCCTCCTTTCCTTATGCATCTTTGTTGTCAAAGTTTGCAGGCATGGAATCAGGTTATGCTTGTTTCTGTGGAAATAATCCTGACTACTGGAGATATGGGGAGGCAGCCAGTACGGAATGCAACAGTGTTTGCTTTGGAGACCATACTCAGCCTTGCGGTGGGGATGGCAGAGTCATTCTTTTTGACAGTAAGTATTGAAACAGGCTCAGTTTTTCCCAAAGGAGAGGTCTCAAATGTTCAGCAAATTAGGGAAAAGGGTTTAAATGCAATGAGAACTGTTGCATGCAAAACAGCAAAACACCTAAATTCAGTATAAAATAAAGCTGCTTTCCATTTCTGCATAAAATTCACATCCATTAGTAATGTGAAATAGCTCTTCCAAGAAATGATCCCTGCTCAGGCAACTGACTCATGCTCCAGAGATTGTCTCTTACTTCCCCGCAAATGGTACTAACTCAGCTATCACAAACAGCATGTCATGGACAGACTCCTTCAGAACTGATCTTACCAGAGAGTAGGTATATGATTAAGTGAGGCACCTCAAATAAAATTTCAATCTACACCAACTTGGGTTTTTGTATTAAACCAGACGAGACTTGCTATAACCCAGTTAACACAAAGCGGTGTAGTAGGATTGGGACAGGGAAGGAGTGTACTGCAAAAGTACAAATGAGTTTGCTATTATGACCGTCGCTAATTTCATACTTTCTTATACATAGAAATCTTCTTTTCTACTCTTCTTTTCAGTATACATACCAGTGCCAGCTGTGTAACTTCACAGGTTGACGGTATGAGTACCCAGTTGTCTGGCTGCAGTGCAGGCTCCCAGTATAGCCAGGAGTACTGGAAAAGTTCACAGTATGCACTGATACATCATTGCTTCTCAGATCTCAACTGCCTCTGATGTAGAAGCTACCTTTTAAGTCAAGTTACAAACTTCCTGGAACTAAAAGCAGCATCGTTTTCCACCTTCTGAACACACAACCAAACTTCCCATCTCCTTACTCTAAAACGCTGGTTCCCAGCTAGTGAGGCAGAAAGACATTTCAGCTGAGATGGGAATTAGTCACTCTGCTCACTTCCAAATTCTCCCCAAGATATGAAAAGAAGCACCGGAGTTGCATGTTGCTTTCAGTGTTGAGATAGCATGTAGCTTCACGCTGCAGCATCCTCTGTTTCCTTCTGCTCTTGGCCTCCCAAATCTTTCATGGATAAAGGCTTCCTTTGTAGCTTTCCTTTTCTGGCATGACCAAGGACTCAGCAAGATGTTACCGTGAGGACCTGCACCGTCTTTTCTGGTAAACAGCAAGAGAGACAGCTATGGCCAGGTAAGAGAGGTCATCCTAGAAACTGCCACCTATTTTCTTTTGCTGATGAGCAACACCTGCTCACCTCATTCCTCTTTTCCAGATTATTTCATATCCCCAGAACCTTCACCCTTGATCCTTGTACACACACCCACACACACACTCCCATTAGCCTTATGTGCTACTATTATGGTTACGTGCTACTGTAGTTTACGTGCTACTATCATGGCCTAAAGCTGTAACATTCAGACCCACAACACAGAACCCTGCCAGCTCTAGAAGGAAATGAGAGAGGGAAAGCACTTCCATTCCATATAGGGCAATGTTGTACTTTGTTAGGCATCTGTGGAGCACTAGTCATTGGCATTCTTAGTTAATATTGCTGGTTTGAAGAACATGTTGTGATTCAGTAATTACAAACAGCACAGACAAATGTAACGATACCTATAAGCCATTTGCAGAGAAGAAATTTGATATCTCAATTACAAATTTCAATTCTATCAATTCAATCTATTCTATCTATTCAAACAATTCTGTCTATCCAATTAAATCACCAGCTCTGTTAGCATGGAGTAAGTGCCAAACACAAATTCCTCTATGGGGCTTAGTACCTCTGTGGGGTCTTTCACATTGTTTCTACTCTTCTTCTTTCATATTCTTTCAGTTCCTCTATAAGGTCTTTTCATAATGCAGCACTGAAGTGTGACGTTTGCTCAGGCTATGATCAAGCCTTGCTCCAGAAAGAGAGAGAAATGTTTTCACATGATTTTTCTGGCAGACATATACTACTTATTGTTCTCGTTCCCCCAGTTCCCTTTTAATTTGTATTTATTAAAGCTCTTTCTCAGAGGCCTGTGAAAACTGAGACACTTCAAAACACTTATTTTATTTCCATTCTCACAGGCCTCTATTACAGGGCTTTAATTAAGCTTTCAGAGAAAATAATGCTACTTTGATTCTTCAGTCCTTCAGCCCATGATATGGGGGAGTGATAACTCTGATCAAAACAGTTTTGTCATTAAATACATTATTATATAATATAT